CCCCGACCAGGTAGGTGCCCGCTCGGCCTTCATGCCCAAACAGGAGCCAGGCCCGGATCTGAACCCCACCTCTGCCACCAGAGTAACACGACCTTGGCAAGCATCTCACAACTCTGCGCTCCCATTTCTTTCATGGAGCAAATGGGAATAAAAAAAGCACCTGCCTCCAGGGTCGCGCAGGGTCAGGAGGGACGGTGTGCCCAGAAGGACTGGGCAGTGTGGGGGCGCGCTCAGCGCTCAGCGGCCTGGCACTGCCGTCACTGCCTGTCTTGTGTTGCAGCCAGGCGTCTGCCCCGCCCCCCGCTCAGCCTGGAGCAGATGAGCCGGCCGTGCAGGGAGGGGAGCCCATGGGCGACAGGAGGTGGCAGGGTCTTTCCCACTCCCTGATCTCATTTGGCTTCGAATTCCTGAAGTCTACAAAGAGGGGAGAGCTCAGGAGAGCCCGTATTGAATTCAATTATTCAGAACCGTTTTAAAGCTTTTGTTGCTGTTTGCCGCCACAGAGGGAACCCTTCCTGACCTCAGTCTTTCTGCAGCAGAGCTCCAGCGAGGAAAAAAGTCTGCTCACCAGGGAAGAGCCGCTGCTTCTGCAGCTGGCTCCAGGCCCCTGTGCTGCTACCGGCAGCCAGCAGGTGCTCTACACGGGCGGGTACAACAAATGCTCTCTGCACTGGGGTTCAGGGCACTGCGGTGTCAACTGGCCAAGAAAATGAAACTGAACTCGTTCGCTGTGCTCCTCTCAGAGCACCCGGAAACACGCTCCTGCTCTGTGACCAGGCAGTGGCCTCTGATGGACAAGGAGGAGCGGGGTCTGACGTAGGAGCTCTGGCCTCCTCGCCGGGCCTGGCTGTCCCCTGCTGCCGACTGCGAAACAACAGATGCCGGAAACCCTGCACTCCACGGGCCTTCGACTCAGGTCACGATCCTGGGGTCTTGGGATCGAGCCCCGCCGTCAGGCTCCCTGCTCAGCGGGGAGCCTGCTTCTCCCTCTCCCACTCCCCCTGTTTGTGTTCCCTCTCTCATTGTGTCTTTCTCTGTCAAATAAATAAATAAAATCTTAAAAAAAAAAAAGAGAGAGAAAGAATAAACCAAAGTAACTGACATTCCCCCTTAGGATCGCTCTCTATAACCTGATTCTGTTTTTCGACTCCTCTTTTGAGAAACATAAAAGCCCCCTGAATCTCCCCACTTCTGAGTCTGCGATGCAGAAGCAGCCACTACTCTTGACAACTCCCTGTATGCCAGGCGCTGTCCTAAGCTCTTTAAATGTAGAAATTTACTGAATGCACACAGAACTCCACTGAGAGAGATCCTCACACCACTTCCATCTTGCAGAAGAGGAAACAGAGCTCAGGGACCCTGGGCTGCAAGGGGCGGGGCCAGGATAGGCCCCAGGAGCTTCCTAATTCTTCACTGTCACCCTCTATTGCTCCTGGATATTCCTACCAGCGGGTGTGATTTTGTCCAATTTACTTTCTGTAGTTTACATTAAAGGTTTTTTTTCCCCTGGGGTGGCTCAGCCGGTTAAGTGTCTAACTCTTGATGTCATGAGTGAGCCCCGCATTCAGACTCTGCGCTCAGTGAGGAGTCTGCTTGAGATTCTCCTCTCTTTCTCGTCCCCGCCTTAAATAAATAAATAAAATCTTTAAAAAAAAGGTTTTTTTTGCCCTAAGTATATTTTAATACTAAACAAACTCTTCCAAGTGATACTTATTTTTTTCTTCCAAATGATATTTAAGTTCTTCCTAAAAATTCTGATCCAACCTTCCTATGATTCCATCTTCCCAGTTAGAAGTCTCTAATTAGGAGCCACAAGCTTTCCTTAATAAAATCAGCTGCATAAGGCCTAGAAGCACATTTATCTTTGGACGCTTGATGTTCCATCTATGTTTATGTCAAAGGTTTTAAAAAACTATCAAAAGGTTAAGAGAAAATTTAGATGTTCTCGAAAACCCATGCATATGCCAGTTTGACTTTACAAAGACAGTCCTACAAATGACGAGTCACCCAAACCCACGTTTTGATATATTACCCTTGTGCAACTGAAGTGCTCTGCGAACCGAACCTTCGGGAAGCGGACCCCAGGGAAGCTGAGGGAACAAGAAACAGCGATTGTTACCGGTAAGAAATGCCACTGCTCTTCAGAAAGCGAAATGCACAAGTACTACTGCTGGTGCCCGAGTCAGAGCCCCAGATCACAACGCACCTGCGGGAAAACCAAGGTCAACAAAGCTAGAACAACATCGCTTACAGTTATTGCTTGTGTGTGTTCAGATGTGTTCTCATGCCATCAAAAAGGGCCTAAAACCAGAACCGCTCACCCACCGATCTGATCCTTGACCGCCAAGTGCCCAACGGGTTCAGATGCTGTTCTGTGCTTTTGAGTCGGCCCGCGGAGCCCACCTCCTCAACAGAGCTGGTTTCTGTGACCAATGGCATGTGGTAGAGGGAAGGGCACAGCACTTCTCAGATTAAGTTATAAAAGACTGGAGGCCTTCTGCCCACAGCCCAGCTGGTGAGCTTGGAAACAGAAAGCCCAGCCCCAGCTGACAAGAGTGCCAGAATCACCCAGCTAGGCTGCTCCTGTAAATGCTGTGCATGACAAACGCTGGTCATCTTAAGCTGCTAAGCTCTGGGGTAACTTGTTATGCAGCAGTAGATGACTAATACACCAAGGGACAAAGGCAATCACGGTCTACCAAGCGAAGGGCCCAGCAATCAAATGCAGAGCTTAGGAGCAAAAAGCAGAGGACAGCAACTCAGTAACTGTCAAGGGTTTATTTATTCATTTATCTCCGAAGATGTCTTGTTCCTGAAGTTTCATTTGTGGGGCTCCTGGTTGGCTCAGTTGGTAGAGCATGCGGCCCTTGATCTCGGGATTGTGAATTCGAGCCCCACGTTGGGCGTGGAGCCTACTAAATTAAAAAAAAGTTTCCTCTGTATCTATTTTTTTGAGAGTTTTTGTTATGAATGGATCTCGAATTCTGTCAACTACTTCTTGCCTCTACTGATGCATGTTTTTTTTATATTGAGCTACAATTGACATTCCATAAAATTAACCCTTTTATAGGTACCTGTTAGCAGGTGTTCCCAATTATTGCTGTCTTGGGCTGGTTTGTCCTCTACTACCTCGCTGTGCCTGGGGTTTAGACCTTCGGCCTTATCTCTTCTTTCTCTATTATCATTCCTCTGCCCATTGCATCTAGTGGAATGAATTTAAATATCCCGTCTACACTGGTGACTCCCAGGTTTACACCTGCAGCCTGGATTTGATCATCCACTTGTCTATTTGCTATTGCAAATCTAACAGGCATCTCAAAGCCTACGGAGGTTCCAGATCCCCCCCATGCCTGCTTCTCCTCCCCATCTCACACAATGCTACCTCCATTAAAAGCAGGGATTATTTATGTTTATTATTGATGTATTCCACCCCTCCCCCATCAGTCCGTGATGCAAAAAAGGTGCTCAATAAATGGTGGGTGAATGAATGAAGTCCACTCTGCTGAGTCAGCACATGAAGCCCCGGTTGAAATACGCCCTGACGGGGGACTCAGCACTTCTCTTGGGAGCCACCCCACTGTTAAAGGCTCAGTTGGAAAGTTTCTGCACCTGATCTGCTTCCTTGTAACTCTCAGCTATGGTCTTGACTTAGCCCTGAACCCCAGAAAGAACAAATGTACGCCCTCCTCTCCCATGGGGTCATCCTTTAGCTCTCTGAGGACTGTGGTGTGTCTACCATCCTGTTTTCCTCTCTCACTCTTCAAGGTCCCATCCGCTTATCATTTTGGTCGCCTTCTCTGTATTCCATGTTATCTGTGTTTCTTAAGGTGGGAGCCTGGAATTGAACACAGCATTCCGGAGGTGGTTTTATGTCGGTAGAACGGAGTAATTTTCAGTGCTTTTGTTAAAACGTCCCTCCCTACTTAAATCCAAGTTTTACTAATGGAAAACGTCAAGCACACGAAAGTAAAGAGGGCAGAACCGTGAGACCAGAGCCCGCGAGCAGCTGTTCCCAGACTCAACACTTAACAACTCACTTGATTCACATTGCCTCTGGCCCAACTTTGCAATTACTTTTAAGTAAATCACAGATACATTGTTTAATCAGTAAAGACGTCAGTACACGTCTATGAAAAATAAATATTCTTAGAAAACACACATAACAGGAGCACTGTTATCCCATCTTGAAAAGGGAACGATTCTTTAATATCGCCAAATATACAATTAGACTTAATTTTAAAACATACCTAAACACTCCCACACACAAATAACACACTCCAATCATTTCAAGCAAAAATACAGTGTTTCTGGCGAACATAACTTTTTTGAACCTCATAAAAATACGGCTGCTGCTTTTACTGAATGGGTTAAGATTTGGTAAGGACGTTCACCGCTACTTTCCAGAGGAGGACAGCGGAGGTTCTAAAGAGTGGCTCGAAGCCTGGGAGCAATGGTACAGCACAGGCTTGGGAGCCGTACCGAGCTGTCTGAATCACTCTCGACCCACTTCCCTGCCGTGTGACCTTGGGCAAGTTACCTAAGTTGTCTGAACCGAGCCTCAGTTTGCTCCCCAGACAACACAGGCACTGTAGGGAGTTGAAGAGCTGATGTCTGTAGCGAAGCCGCTGACTAAAGGAACCAGGAACTGCAAAGCGAGTACTACATTCACCGCACCGAGAAAAGCGGTCAACACCGAAGGCACCGAGGCAGACACGGACCCGCACGCCCCGTTCGCCCCGCTCCCTCTTCTCACCCCGCCACCCGGGTCTCACCCGCTCCGGGCCCTGACACTCTCAGGCAGCGGCGACTGCACACGGACACCAGCCCCCCGAAGGCGACCGTCGCGATCCGGGTTGTCACGGCCGCCGCCATCTTCCCGCAGCTTCCGCCGGAAGCGGAAACGGCCTCGGCGCGAACCTTGTGCGTCGACGCACAGGGTCCGGCCCGGGAACGCCGGCTGTCGCGGCAGCGGGAGCTCAGCGGCCCTGGGCCCGGGCCCGGCGTTGGCCATGGCCTCGGCGACTGTGGAGAGCTTCGTGACCAGGCAGTTGGACCTGCTGGAGCTCGAGAGAGACGCGGAGGTCGAGGAGCGCAGGTACGGGGTCGGTCGGCAGTTCCCCAGCCCGGCTGGCCTCGGGCAGAGATTTGCCCGCCTGCCCCCCGAGTCCCGCCAGCGGCGCTGCGGGGGCTCGGCCGCCGCTGGGGATGGGATTCTCTCGCCCCCCGGGCGGCCCGTGCCGGTTTGGGGTCCTTAAGAAGCCTTTTCTTTTCGGCCTGGAGCCCCCCACTCCCGAACATTCAGCCCTAGGTCCTGCCTCTTCCCTCAGCGCGTCCTCAGCCCTTTCCCTTCTTCGGTGCGGGGCCGGTGGGAGGGATGCGGCCTCCTGGGCTTGGGCGGGGTTGGGGGTGGGTCTGGGTAGGGGGCCTGGGCAGGGTGTGGGCTTGGGCGGGGGTAGGGGTAGGGGAAGGCTTGGGCCTGGGCAGGGGACCTGGGCAGAGGGGTGGGCCTGGGCAAGGGACCTGGGCAGAGGTGGGCCTGGGCCTGGGCAACAGTGGACCTGGGCGGGGGCAGAGAGGTGGGCAGGGGACCTGGGCAGGGGGGTGGGCCTGGGCAAGAGACTTGGGCAGGGCCTGGGCAGGGGACCTGGGCAGGGGCCTGGGCAGGGGCCTGGGCCTGGGCAGGGGGTGGGCCTGGGTCCTTGTAAATGGTGCCTTCCAGCTGGGTGCACTCACGCTGTGTGTCCGTGCGTGCGGGAGTGCGGGCTCTCAGAAAAGGCCGAGCAAGTGTGGAGGAAGACCAGCTCCCTCTGGGAGGTGCGAGGCTAAGGCTGGCTTCAGGGACAGGTGGTGCCAAGTGTGGAGGAAGACCAGCGTCCCCTGGAGAGTTCGAGGCTAAAGCTGGCTTCGGGGAGAGGTGGTACCAAGCTCAAAAATGAGTGAGGTGGGTGGAGGAGCCTTTCTGTATGAGGTGTGGGGAGATGGGCACTAGAGAGAGCCCTGCTTGCTCCCTGGACGTGAATATTCATTTAGCCGAAACAGTAACAGCGAACACGTACAGAGTTCTGTAAATGCTCTTTCTGTATGTTCGTTTCTTTAACCCTCAGTGTTCTTCTGATTTTGTGCCTGAGGAGGCTGTGACACTGAGCAGTTCAGTAACTTGGCCAAGGTGACACAGGTGGAGTCGGGTTGGAGGCTGGGCAGTCTGATTCACTGCACTGCAAACGCGGATGGGTTTGTGTGAGAGGCTTTTGATTTGAAGATAAAGAGCTTTTGCGGTTGTATCGACCTGGGTAGAACCCCAGCTCCACGTATGGCTGTGGGACTTTGCAGGTTACATTTCTGATCTTTAGCTACGTCGCCTGTGAAGTAGGATTATTCCCACCTCACAGGTTTGCGGTGAGCACGAGACGGTCTGCTGTCAGGCGCTCAACTCAGTACCCAGAGGAGAGTGAGCACCCACGGAGAGGTAGGCAGCGCTCAGATTGAGAAGGGCCTTGTGGGTGAGCTTGTGTTGTATTCTGTGCGTGGAGGATGGCTCTCTGAGCAGTTAAGTGCCGGGGGGTGCGGGGGGGGGTGGGTGTTAACCTTAAAAATAAAACTGCCAGTTATTTTATTAGCAAGATGGATTTATTCATAATGGCAGAGAATTGAAATTCCGGCCAAGGAAGCTGTGGCACAAACTCTAGGTTAGAGCAACAAATGAAGGAGAGAACCTTTATTTTAGGGAGAAGGAGGGTGTGGGAGGGATTGTTTTGAATGGAAGTCCATTACAGAAAGGCAGGAGTTCAGGGTGATGACCATTGCTCACTGGATGAGTTGGAGGGGTGGTGGATTTCTTCTAGGGTATGCAGTGTGCATCTTTCCCTGTTGCTTGAAGGAGGATTCTGTCCTGTCAGGGTCTGTAACTGACAGGGGAGGGTGCAGCTCCCCCTTCTGGCCTCCCCGCTCCACTTTATAGTGAGGTTTTCCTTTATTAAGTTTCGAAGGGGAGTGGATAGGGTGGATTTCGTGCTTGCGACTGGTCAGGGCAAGCCCCTGAGGTCAGGCAGTTAGGAGGCAGGAAGCTCTGTCTGGTCCAGACGATGAGGGGTGTGGCTCGAACCAGGGTTATGGTGGTGAGGACGAGAGGCAGAGTGGATTCATGCGGGTACAGATGGCGGGCGGTTGGTGGGGGCACTGATGGACTTAGTGACCCCGGGGGAACCCTAGGTGCAGAATGTGAGTAGAGCAGGTAAAGAGCCCAGCTCTACCCGCAGGAGGGGTGGGGGAGGAGCAGGATGCCAGGGCAGATGTGGAACCCTTTTGGGTTTTATTTAGTGCCCGTGCACAGATCTTTGCTTTTCTCTCCCTTTTACATTCGTCCCGTATGGGTGGAAGTAAAAGCTGGTAAAGCGTAAATATTGAACACTCAGTGTTGGGTGTCTTCCAGGTCTTGGCAGGAAAACATCTCTCCGAAAGAACTGCAGAGCCGAGGCGTGTGTTTGCTGAAGCTGCAGGTGTCCAGCCAGAGGACTGGGCTGTATGGGCGGCTGCTGGTCACCTTTGAGCCCAGGAGATGTGCGTCTCCCGCGGTGCTTCCCAGCAACAGCTTTACTTCGGGTCTGTGCGTTTGCCATGTAGGCATGTGTTGCATACCACGGGTCTCCAAACTGTGACTTTTACTCTCGTGAAGACCGGCTTGCACGTGGCTAGTTGGAGAATAAAGCGTGGCAACGAAGAATCCTTAATTAGAAGTTCACCACTTATGTGGCTTTTTGGTAGTCTAGGTCTGTGTGTCCACAATGGCAGCCACCAGCCACAGGTGGCTCTGGAGCTCTTGACCTGTGGGCAGGACACACCAGATTTTGAAGCTCGAGTACCAAAAACTTCAGACTATCTCCAGAGTCATTTTTTTTGAAATCTGATACATGTTGAAATAGTATCTGTCATGTATTGGGTTAAAAAATGTCATTAAGATCAATTTACTTGTTTGTTTAAAAAAAATTTTTTTTTAAGATTTTATTTATTTGACAGAGACCATGAGCAGGGGTGAAGGGTAGAGGGAGAAGCAGGCTTCCCGCTGAGCACGGAGCCCAACACAGCCCGATCCTAGAACCCTGGGGTCATGATCTGAGCCGAAGGCAGACGCTTAACCGACTGAGCCACCCAAGCGCCCATTAATTTTTTTTTTATCACGGCTCCTAGAAAGGGTAAAACTACATGTGACTGTCATCGTATTAGCCTTGGACCGCCGTGGTGCGGTGTGCATGGTTCTGTCTTCCCCCGGGTTCTCGTGCCCAGCACACTCGGGGTACACTCATGCCAGCCCTGCTGGAGAGAAGAGGCCGCCGAGCCACACACGGGGGGTCTGGTGTAGCCCCCAGACCTGGAGAGAGCAGCATTGCTGTGCTGGACTTGCTCTAGAAAAGTCTCCACCTTGTTTTGGTGGTGATGGGTTTTTGATTTCCTATTCTGATTTCCCAAACTCTTGCACACAGTTGTTGGGCTGGATTTGGAGACAGAGGGGATGAAGGGCCGCTGGTTGGAGTCAGGTCTTACATGTTCTTGTGAAGTGAGCTAGAGCTCACCGCCGCCCGCCCTCTGTAGATAGGGACTGGGGACGTTAGAGCGGCACCTTTCTGCTTCGCCGTTGGGGTCGAATGTCCGTGGCGGGGGGCTCCTAAACCCTGAAAACCAAAAGTAAAAATCTATTCAGTAGTATATTCAGTTAGCCGGCATTGTGGAGTGTGACCCCAGAGATTGATGAGGGGTTCATAAACAGGAAGTCAGAGGAAGCAGCATTTCTGTGGAAAATCTGATGTGTCGCTGCAACTGTTGATCAGATTGAGGTGAGGTTGTTACTTTTTCTTCTGCAGAGCAGTATTAAAGCTCAGCTAAGAAACGTCAGTTCTATGCAGGGCACTGGTGGGGAGGTCCCAGTAGGCAGGGGGTCCTCTGTGCTCAGCCCCACAGCAGGCCCTGCTCACAGAACCAGACCCTGCCCCAGGAGCATTGTTGCCGTCTGCTGCTTGTCTCTATAAAGTTGGGGAAGGAGCCAGAGAAAAGGTGCGAGGTACAGATGAAACTCGTCGCCTGGAGGAAAACACAGCCCAGGCTAAGAGCGTGCCTGGTGCCTGGTTGACTGTGGCATATAGTTTCCGACACGGAATAGAGGGGGTGTAAATACATGAGTAGCTCTGGCTTTATCTCAGAGTGGAGTCTGTTTTGGTCAGAACTGTCTTCTGTTCCAGGTGATGAAAAGCTAAGTCAGGGATGCCTGGGTGGCTTAGTCGGTTAAGCATCTGCCTTCGGTTCAGGTCATGATCTTGGGGTCCTGGGATTGAGTCCCGTATCGGGCTCCCTGCTCAGTGGGGAGCCTGCTTCTCCCTCTGCCCCTCCCCCTGCTTGTGTGCACTCTCTCTCTCTCTGATGAATAAATAAAAAATCTTAAAAAAATTTTTTTTAGAAAAGCAAGCCAAATGGGCTCGGGCAAGAAGGACTACGTTGATTGTGATACTAGAAGATTGGCTTCAGGGCTCATGGGAGGTCGCTTGGAGTTAACGTCTCTCCATTTCCTGGCTTTGCTGTCTTCTGGGTTGGCTTCCTTCTCAGGCAACACCTGATAGCAGTTCTGGCCCCGACATGCCCTCAGGTTTCTGGTCCAGCTGGACAGACGGAGGGCCTTTTCCCAGGTGCCAAGCAAAAGTCTCACTGCATCTCAGGGGCAGATTCGGTCCTGTGTTCATCCCTGAACAGTGACTGTGGCCGGAGACGTGGGATGCGACTGGTTCAGGCGTAGGTTGCATGCTCCTTCCCTGGTGTCAGGGTCACCTAGTGGATGAGTGAATCACCCAACAATTACCATGGGAAGTGGGGGAGATCTGTGCTGAGTGGGCAGCAAATGACCTCTCTCCCTCCTTCACTCATGTTCCCGTTCTGCCTGGAATGTTCTCCCCTAGATGTGCTTGTGGCCCCCACTTTGTTCAGGGCCCGTCTTGCTTACCTGTCACCACTCAGAGGAGCCTTTGCCATACACTGTTTCTAAAATGATGCCTGTGTCCCTCTCCATCTCCTCCTGGGCTTCGTCTTTCCTTAAAACCTTTGGTGCAGACGTCTGTGTCTTGTTTTTAATCAGACCATTGCTTAGAGCAGTGCCTGGCACAGAGTGAGTAGGCACTTTAAATGTTTTATTGACTGGCATGTTTGTCTTAAACGGTTCATTGATCTCAAGTCAATTTTCATATTTAATTCAGGTGTTGGTTAAAAAACTTTTGCTGCTACTGGTTTCATTCCTAAAGAGAGCAATAGAGATAGGATATTTGAAATATGCTGGAATTTATTATATAAAATAATTCACGGCTTAACTCTGCGCAGTGTTTGTGTAACTTGAATCTTTGTTTCTACAGGCGATATAGTGGGTCTGTGTGACGAAGGGAGTCAGCTGGCCACGGGGATCCTGACCCGGATCACGCAGAGATCGGTCACGGTGGCCTTTGACGAGTCCCATGACTTCCAGCTGAGCTTGGACCGGGAGCAGGCCTACAGACTGTTAAAACTTGCCAATGATGTCACTTACAAGCGACTGAAGAAGTAAGGGTGTGACTGGGAATCACATGTTCTTTTTCCTCAAGCATCACTCACTCACCCTGACCGCTTGTCCTGCTGGGCAGAAGGGAGCAGTTGCATTGAGTGTGGAGTCACTGGGGGCTGCTCATGGGAGACGGCAGCTGCAGGTGGCCACACTGGGCAGGGGTTTGGGCAGGGAATCAATGTCTGGTTTTCACCAAACTCCTAATTCTCGTTTTCTCCCTTGGCAGGGCTCTGATCACCCTAAAGAAGTACCATTCTGGCCCCGCCTTCTCACTCATAGAGGTCCTCTTTGGTAGAGCAGCCCCCAGTCCTGCCAGTGAGATACGTAAGAACCTTTGTGTTTTCTTTTCTGATTGAAGTCACTGTGGAAGCACCGAGAACAGCAGGGCCTATGTTTGAGGGAGAGTTCGAGGACGTGCAGTTAGAAGGCATCTCTTTTTGTGTCTTTTATAAATTTCTTTGAGTGACTCACGGGGACTGGACTCTCGGGTACTCAGTGCAAGGAAGCAGCTCATTCTGTGGACTTTACAACGTTCTCTCGAATGTATCTTTGTTCTTTTAAGATGTAAGGATGTTCTAGCTCAGTGATTTGTGGAAATAGGATGGCTGAGCACAGTCTGTGCTTAACAGTGTTTTTGTGTTTGTTTGAAAAGTCCTAATTTGGGACGCCTGAGTGGCTCAGTAGGTTAAGCGGCTGTCTTCAGCTCAGGTCATGATCCTAGGGTCCTGGGATCGAGTCCCACATGGGGCTCCTTGCTCAGCAGGGAACCTGCTTCTCCCTCTCCCACTCCCCTGCTTCTGTTCCCTCTCTTGCTGTGTCTCTCTCTCTGTCAAATAAATAAATAAAATCTTAAAAAAAACCCCCAAAAACAAAAAAAACTTTCAAGTCCTAATTCTAAACACATTTAATTGTTTCTCAGCATCCTTCAAATTGAAGACCGCTTATTTCTGATGAGAAGAGTAATATAATATGTGTTAATTGTGGAATATTTGGAAATAGAGAAGCGCGTTAGCAAGGGAGACAGAGCACTTGGGAACCTACCATCTGGAGTTAGCCTCCCTAGTATTTGTGTGTATTCTGGTCTTTTCCATGTAGAACACCATGTCTTTCACGTACAGACATTACGTGTGCACACACGTGCACGCACACACCCCTTCCTTGTCTTTGCGCTTTCTCTTATCCCTCTGTGGTCTTGAAGAACCCATTTTGAGGGGAGCATGTTGTCTCCACAAGCAGCTGCCGTGATTTGCCAATCCTCCACAATCTGACTTTGCCACTTTCCCAGCATGGCCTCAGTGAACCTTCAGTCTCTCCTGCTGCCTGGGGTGACAGGGCTTATCCTGCGCCCACGTGACGTCAGGCCTGTGCCGACCACCCAATGTTGTGTTGGCTTTAAGCACAGGGCTGCTGGGTGGTACCTCCAGGTTCTGCATGCACTCACATTTCAGCGTTTTATTCTGCCAGATATTTATCGAGAGGCTACTATGCGGACACTGAATTAGAAATTGATTTACTGTGTTTTAGGGAGCACGGTAAATTGTGGTTAGGTGGGTAGCTAAGGAAAAGGGATACAGTGTGGAGAGCGGGGCGCGCTGGGGCTTTGGGTCAGGTGGTCTGCTGCTGCTTTTCGACTTCGTGTCAGTCTGGCCAGGCCAGCTCAGGGCACTGTGCCCGGGCGTTCTGCTCACTCACGGGTCGGGTGTCTCCACGCACAGGGACCCTGCAGAGCCGGACACGGAGCACAGCGCACAGGAGGCAGATAACTGGTCTTCATCATGGAAGATTCAGTGTTCACAAACAGGATTCCGAAATTTGCTCCTAATTCCTTTTTGTCATTTGTTTTTGTCATTTTGTGGGCACTTATAAAGGGGCAACATGATAGAAATAAATAACTTAATTTTTATTTATTTTTTGTCTTTTTATTTTTTGAGAGAGTGAGAATGAGTGCACGTGGAGGGGAGGGGCAGAGGGGGAGAGAGAATCCTAAGCAGACTCCCTGCTGAGTGTGGAGCCCAACATGGGGCTCGTCGATCTCATGACCTTGAGATCATGACCTGAGCCGAAATCAAGAGTCGGATGCTTAACCGACTGAGCCACCTAGGTGCCCCTAGTAGAAATGAATAGATTCCAAGAAACATTTACTTCAGAAAGGTCTGTTATCGTGGAGCATGAGTTGGCAAACTTTTTAAATAAAGAGGTGTATTGTAAATATTTTCGGCTTTGTGGGCTGATGTAGCAGCCAGAGACAGCACGTCAGTGAATGGGCGTGGCTGGTCCCAGGGAAACTGGTCTCACGAAAACAGGCAGCCGGCTGCATTGGGCCTGTGGTCCATACTCTGCCTCTTCCTGTCCTGGGAGGAACCGTTGGAAGCCCAAGCAGGTTGATTCTGTGTCGGCTGGCTGGCTCCCAGGGAGGTCCCGGAGCCCCGTGGGCGGCACTTCCTTCCGTCAGTGCCCCCTGACAGGAGGAAGCACTGGGGGCGCTGAGCTGGAGCCTAACACTGTCGCCTCTCCCGCAGAGCTGCCGCCATTCTATAACACTTCCCTGGATGCCTCCCAGAAGGAAGCGGTCTCCTTCGCACTGTCCCAGAAAGAGCTTGCCATCATCCATGGGCCTCCTGGCACCGGGAAGACCACCACCGTGGTTGAGATCATTCTGCAGGCTGTGAGGCAGGGCTTAAAGGTGGGCCCCGTCAACACGCATGAGCTCCCCATGCCGGGCTCGCAGGTGCTCAGCTGGGTCTCAGCCTGGTCAGGAACACTCCTGCCCGTGTGCTGTGCACAGGTGACCGATCTTCTGAGACGTGAAGTGTTGTATGTTACTGTTCACTTATATTTTTAATGGCTGAGAAAGGGTCTTTTATCCTCATCTGTGTCAACATGAGTCACCATGGATTCTGAGCATGTGGAAAATTTTCAGAAAATCTTTGTTTCTGAATGTCAGATCACGGTAAGAATTAGAATAATAATGGTCAACATTTTACCGGGTGCTTTTTACGAAACAGTTATCCTTCTGAGCACTCTCCATACATCACTCAGGTAATCCTCACAGAAACCCTGGGTGCTGGGGGCTGCTGGTGCCCCCCATTTCCAGAGGACACGGAGCTAAGGGCACGTGCCCCAGTCAGGAGCAGTGGGTGGCAGGGCCAGGGTTTGAACTCAGGCAGACACGCTCTCCAGGGCTCTTGCTCCGAGCCTCCCACTCCTCTGCGGGCAGAATTGCTGCTTCGAGCTGAAGGGAGATCTGTCGCTTGGTCATGAAACTGTCCAGTGGTTTCCTACAAACGAGTGACTTGGTGTAGGCATTTGAAAACTTGAGTAAGTGATGACTCACTGGCGGGAAGCAGGTCTGGGGGTTTGATTAGATGCCTTCTCTTTGCATAAACGGCAAGAAAGAACACAGCCCTGTTCCCGCTCAGGCCCTCAGGACATGGGGAGGGATGGCCGCAGCACCTGCTTCTGAGGCTTGGGGGGGGCTCTCCGCCGCGCTGCCCCTGCAGCTGTCACCTGTTTCTGATGGTGGGGCTTCGGGTTTTTCTCTCCTGATTGAAATCACTACAGAAAATAGTTCTAGGAGCAAGATTGAGCCCATCAGAAAGATTTTCCGTTGTTCCACTTTGTCAGATGGTAAGGTGATTTCACTGGTGATGAGCTGGATGTTCCAGTCCTGATAATTTCAGGGCACGCTTTAATCTTCGAGTCCTTTTTTTCCCCAGTTGCAAATCATTTAACATCTGTGGTGCTTTGGTGACTAGGAGTTCTAAGACCCAAGCTCCTGTAGAGTCTGCGGTAACACGTGTCCTCTAGGCTGCGCCCACCCTCGCTCCAGCTGTCTGCGCTCCCTCATGACCACTTGTGCACAGTCTGTCTCTTCTCTTTACCCTCAGGGCTTTTCCTTTGTTTTAGTGTGAACTGAAGTGGTTAACTAAAGAAGTCACTGAATTTGAGCTTTGCTTCCCCAGGTTCTGTGCTGTGCTCCCTCTAACATCGCTGTGGATAATCTGGTAGAGCGTCTGGCTCAGTGTAAGCAGAGAATCCTGCGCCTCGGGCACCCCGCCCGCCTGCTGGAGTCCACTCAGCAGCATTCCCTCGACGCAGTGTTAGCGCGGAGTGACAGCGCCCAGGTTGTTGCAGACATCAGGAAGGACATCGACCAGGCCCTCGTACGTATCTCCTACCAGCGACTGCTCTGCGTGGTTTCCGACCTGCAGTCTTTCCTTGGAGTCACTTCTGTCTGTGTTTCTCTCGCTTTCCTTTGTGTCTGTCAGTTTTTTTAAGGATTTCGAGCATCGTGGAGGCTCAGTCTGTTAAGCCTCTGACTCTTGATCAGCTCAGGTTTTGATCTCAGGGTCGTGAGTTTAAGCCCCACATTGGGCTCCACACTGGGCATGGAGCCTACTTTAAAAAAAAAAGAATTTCAGGGGCGCCTGGGTGGCTCAGTCGGTTGAGCGACTGCTTTCGGCTCAGGTCATGATCCTGGAGTCCGGGGATCGAGTCCCACATCGGGCTCCCTGGTCAGCGGGGAGTCTGCTTCTCCCTCTGACCCTCCCCCCTCTCATGTGCTCTCTCTCTCTCTCTCATTCTCGCTCTCTCAAATAGATAAATAAAATCTTAAAAAAAAAAGAATGTCAGATATCAGGACTGCCCATTAAAAAAAAGCTCTCTCCCAGTTTTTGTTTTTTTTTAAAGATTTTATTTATTTACTTGACAAAGAGAGACACAGCGAGAGAGGGAACACAAGCAGGGGGAGTGGGAGAGGGAGAAGCGGCCTTCCTGTGGAGCAGGGAGCCCAGTGCGGGGCTCGATCCCAGGACCCTGGGATCATGACCCGAGCTGAAGGCAGACGCCTAACGACTGAGCCACCCAGGCGCCCTTTCCCAGTTTTATTAAGAAATAAAGGACTGTCTACTTTTGATAGAAAGTTGTACTCAGCATGTAATAGGGACTCAACTGTTTTCAGAGTAGGTGAGGGATCATCTTAAAGAAGACATCTCTCTAAGCGTCCCCTAGATCTGGTCATGTTGGCTAGGTAATGTTGGCAAGAAAATAAAAATTCAAAAACTCGTCCCAATTTTTGGTCCGTTTTACACTCTGCCTGTGGGAGAGAGGCAGCGGTGACAGGTTACTTGGAGATTGGAGAGGTGTTTTTTGTTTTTTGTTTTTTTTAAGGATTTTATTTATTTATTTGACAGAGAGACACAGCGAGAGAGGGAACACAAGCAGGGGGTGTGGGAGAGGGAGCAGTAGGTTCCCCGCTGAGCAGGGAGCCCGATGTGGGGCTTGATCCCGGGACCCTGGGATCATGACCTGAGCCGAAGGCAGACGCCCTGGAGAGGTGTTTTATCTTGCAGTTAGGTACTCTGGAGCTCGGTGGTTCTCTGATTGGCACTCCCCATTTGCTCGCTGTCAGCTGGCCTCACGGCCTCACGGTGGTGCCCCTCCGTGTCCTGGACCCACAGGGCTGGTGCTGTGAGTCAGCCTTCCTGTGGGCGTGGAGTAGCGGGGTGGCACTCCAGATGCCCGCGTGGGCCCAGCAGAGGTGGGGGCAGGATGAGGCATGTCATTCGAGGGTAGAGGGGGTGTAGGAGTGCACACGGATGGTGTTGCCTCCACCACAAGCGTGGATGACTGCATTTCTTGTTCCCGTTGACTCTGCTTTTCAGGGTCTTCTTCTCCGTAAGGGAGGCGCAGGAAGACCCTTCCTGTTAACCCTGCCACACTCTGTCCTCCAAAGGAGAAATCACAGTTAGGAAGGGTGTCTTTTTTAGTATTACAGAAAGTCAGGCCTTAGGTCAGCATTTTATAGGTTGAAGAAAATTTGTTACTCTCTTGTCAAGCGTGGACTAACAGCTGAAGTGTAGCCTCTCACCTGGAAGCCGCTAGAACCCAAATCCTGGGATGGCAGGTGCTCCTTCTTGCCCAGAGCATGTGCGGTGACTCTGCGCAGGGGAGGGTGGGGTCCAATTTCTGGTTTCGTCTGAGTTACAGTTCAAACCGCCGCGTGCGTCAAGGGCCTGACTCTGCCCCTCTGCCTCTCCCTGTGCGGGTGATGCCGGCTGGGAGCCCGCAGGGGTGCTGGGTGCTCGCTTACCTGTGCGGATCTGTTGCTCCTTCAAGACAGGTTTCGGACGTGTTAGTGCCTCTCAGACTTCGTGAAGTGGACCAGCTGGTTATAACCAGAAGCACTTCAAGAGCATAAAAGAGCGAAGTCGCTGCAGGGTTGTGTGCACATATTTATGTGTTGTTGGCTTTCCTTCGTAGGCGAAGAACAGGCAGACCCAGGGTAAGAGAGAGAAGAGTAGTGTTTGGAGTGAAATCAAGCTGTTGAGGAAGGAGCTGGAGGAGAGGGAAGAAGCTGCGATGCTGGAGAGCCTCACGTCAGCAGCCGTGGTGCTGGCGACAAACGCAGGTGAGGGCAGCGGGTCCGTGCCTGCCGCGGCCCCCCCGAGGGGCCAGGAGGTGCTCTCCGTTCCGCAGTCTGCTGGGGGGGGGGCCGGGGGTTGTGTAGAGTTGTCTGGAAATGGTGGGTAGGATCCACCAGTGAGTTTTCCTTGTGAGGAGGTTCTCAACGACAAACTCCGTTTGTTTCACTGATACCAAATACAGGGATGTTCAGGGTTCCTCTTCTTTAGCGAGCGGCTGTCTTCAAGGAGTTTGTTCATTTGATCTAACTGATTGCATGCACAGGTCAAAGTTGTTCATACCTTCCCCTACTATAAAAACTACATGTGGCATCTGTAACAACATCACTGATTTCATTCCTGGATTAGGGATTTGGAAATCGGGTTCTCCTCCCTCCCCAGAGCTTGCTGTTACTGTTTTGTTTGTTCAGTGACTTTGCTGAGCTGATTCCGAAAGGCCTGTATCGTCGCCCCGGGTGGCTTCTGAAGCCTGCCAGCTTAGGGGGCAGGAAGGATCCCACAGAGTCCCTCCTGCTCCGGAAGCAGCACATCTGCCGGGCTTGGCCAAGGGGGCTCTGTGTGTGTGTCGGGGCGCACTTTGTACAACTCTTAGGCCTCACTTCCTGTTGTTGTGGAGCCAGGGGTGAGCCATCCGTGAGTGCTTGTGGCCTCCTCGAGTCTTGCACGTGCATGCACACAGCCTGACGAGGTGTGTGGCCCGCCGGGTCCCTGGGGACAGGCTGGAGCTTTCCTAAGCCCCCATGGACATCTTGCTCCCCGACTCTTCCTTGGAAGCTTTCTGGTTACCTCTTGTTCGCTCCAGCTGTTATGAGTTGCCTCAGAGACTCTGATGGTTTTGGGCAAACGCCTGGGGGAAGGGCTGTCTGCATTAGGTGAGTTCCAAGTCAGGGGAAACACAGTCCTGAGAGTGGGATCTTCTGGGGAGCCGGCAGACAGCCCCAGTCATGGCATTTCTCTGGGAATGGGGCTTCAAGGGAGTTCTGCCTCCTCACTGCGGGTTTTTCCCATGATTGCCGGCTCTTGGTTTCAGGGCTCCCACAGAACTGGGGGGGCAGGCAGGGCCTTGCCTGTAGGAACACTGCAGAGCTCTGTGTTCTGGCCCAGATTGAGCCACGTTTTTTTTGTTGTTGTTGTTTTTTAAATTATTATAAGATTTTATTTATTTGAGAGCAAGAGAGCACAGAAGGAGAGGGAGAAGCGTACTCCCTTGCTGAGTGGAGAGCCTGATGTGGGACTCGATCCCAGGACTCTGAGATCATGACCTGAGCCGAAGGCAGATGCTTAATCGGCTCAGCCACCCAGGCGTCCCGAGAGCCACGTCTTTTAAAACGAACACTCCCTGGGTTGCTGCAAGCCTTTAGCTAATTACTAGAGTTCTGAGAAAGTTGATTCTGACAATGCTGCCAGTGTTCTTGTTGCTCTCATGGAGGGAGAGGGTTTCCAGAGGTCCTTCTCCACCTGATCAAATCTTTAAATGTGGTGCTTGCTGGAAATCACAATGCAGCCTCCCCCCCAACTCAGCAAGGTCAGCTTGTGGCCTCTTAAGTCCTCCTGTCCTGTTGGATGGGGAGCTAGAATGGGTCTCCTGGACGTGCTTCTGTTTATGCCGTGAAGTCACATTTATACTCTGAACCTGCCCAGTTCTGCCTCCTCCAGCAGCTTCTCCAGCCATCCTTGCAAACCCCATCCCTCAGGGGGTTCATCAAGACACAGGTCTGAGTCTCAAAGTCATTTGTTAAAACCTCCCTTTCTGTGGCAGGCACCCTACGTACTTTGTGTTAGTACGTATGTAGCGTATTAGGATTTGGTCATCTTAACGGCCCTGTGAGGTTCAGGTGGTGCCCACGTTTGTAGATGAGCAACAGGCTCAGGGTGGGTGGCCTGCCCGGGCCCACTGCTGGTTATGAGGGTTGGCGTGGGGCCTGGGTCTTGCTCACACGTGAGCTTTTGCCATGGCACGGCTATTCCAAGAAGGAGCTGGGGCTGTGGTTTTGTGTTGTCAAGTACACGGGGGCTCTTCCCCTCCCCCCCAGATTGGTGCTCAGTTAATTGTTGTGGGTGTCCAAGAGAACATCTTATGGGGGAATTAATTAAGCTCTAGATTCAGAAAATGGTACGGAAATAATACTTAGAAATCAGACACCCTTCGAAGGCCTTGGTCCCAGCCCCAAGGGGTGATTGATTTCTGGTGATTGGGAATGTTGGGGTGGCCCTTGCCTAGGAGCACACTGCCCTACACTGAAACACAGGTGGCCTGGAACAAGAGGTTTTTAATGTTCTTCCTGAGTGTTTATTTCAAGATGCATACTTCTTACACAGTCTTAATGCCAGACTGGATTCTGAACCGACTGGCCTGTTGGTGTCTCTTTTGGTGCGGTCGCAGCCTCTAGGACGCAGCTAGCACCTTCTGTGAAGGCTTACGGTTCCAATTTCACCAGGTGCTTCTTCCGACGGCCCTCTGAAGCTGCTGCCCGATGGCCACTTCGACGTGGTGGTCATCGACGAGTGCGCCCAGGCCCTGGAAGCCAGCTGCTGGATCCCCCTGCTGAAGGCCAGGAAGTGCATCCTGGCTGGAGATCACAAGCAGCTGCCCCCCACCACGGTCTCTCACAAGTAAGAGCCCTGCCCGCGGTGTCCTTCTCCGCCTTCGCCCGCCAGCCCTTCAGCCCGACCTGCGGCGTGGCAGCCAAGAAGCCCTGCCTTGCCCTCCTCTGCGTTTCCTGCCCATTTTATTGCACGCGCTGGTTTAGGTGTCAGGTGGGTCAGGCCGCGTGTGCCCGAGCTCGGGGGTTGTAGCCGCCACGCACACCTCTGTAGTCCCAGCACCTGGCACTGTGCCCAGTCCGGGCCAGTTGAATGGAGTTTCCCTGGTGAGGCCAGCAGGTCGATGTGCCCATTCCCGCCGGGTGGGGTCCGAGAGACAGTTGCTTCTGTGGGCGGGCTGACTGGCCTCTGGGTCGATCAGCTCCCGGCCTGGCGTGGAGTCTTTAGAGTCCTGACCTCTAGGCACATCCTGCCACCTAGGCCACAAGGAGCGACTCTGTAGGCTCCGATCCTACACGCTGTAGATGCAGCAGCGGTCCCTAGTGTTGTGGGCCAGCTCGGCCGCCCCCAGCCCCCTGCTCACCTCATTCCTGCTGTTCCCCTCATCCACTGCTCCGGCCACCCTGGCCTCCTCTGCCCTTGCTGTCCCCGTCCGGACGGCTCCTTCCCGGACATGGGGTGGCCTTGCCGTCCTCCGTTCAGTACTCTCTCAGGTGAGCCCCCTTCCTGGCCCCCTGTGACCACCCTGTCTCAGCGCTTCTCAGTGTTTCTGAGCACACACCCCCCCCTCCCCTCGCGGTGGTGCGTGTCAGTCTGTCCATTCCCTGGCCGTCTCAACTAGGGTGTGAGTCACATGCAGCCGGGGCCAGGGCTGGCCTTGTGTCCGTTCGCCTGGGGCTGCCCACCATCCCCGAGGCAGGGAAGGCCTTCCCGCACAGGTGCTGTCTTCTCATTCCGCTGCCGCCTGAGATGGTCCTCTCCTTGGCCGTGAGTGTGGACAGGTCCCAGTGGACCTCGGAACGCTCCCTTGGTGTTCTCTGACGGCCAGAAGTGGAGACGTGCTAGCGCGTGTTGGGTGGAACCCCCCAGAGGGGAGTGGGGCCCCCAGGCGGAGGGGCATTGGGTCAGGATCCCTCAGAGAATCCGGTTCCTCAGAGCGGGTCCAGTCCAGGTGGAAATGGGGGGCTACGTTTGGGAAGCTTGTCCTGGTGGGAGAACTGCCCCCCAGGGTGGGAGTCAGCGTGGAGCCTCCGGACAGGGGCTCCGTGGGCGCTCTTCAGCAACTTGTTCCGGAGTGCCAGGGGCCCTTGAAAGGGAGCTTTGTCCTCCACAGACCTTTGTGTGGAGAGCGTTTGGATCTGTGCCCTCAGAGCAGGGACGCCCCCTCCCCTGTGGGGGATGCGCGCTGGCTAGCTCTCTGCGAGCAGTTGGGACTGGGATTGGCAGCTGTTTTGCTCGTGTCTTTGGTGTGAGTTGTTTTCAGTAGGTGTCTGTACTGGAAGAGGTTGACCACGAGGTCTTACAAGCTTCTAGAGCCAGGACCCCTGAAGCACGATTAGGAGCTTTCCTTCAGTTTTAGTATCACCGACTCAGCGGGAGGTGGTGTGCCTTCATGGTGAAGAGGAGCTCCAGGCTCCAGCTCCAGGAGCTGCAGCTCACTGGCTGGGCGGCCTGGGGCTGGTCACTCCACCTCTCTGTGTTTCACTCCCCTCCTGGGGAAGGGGGAAGCAGAACACGACCTCCTAAGGTTTTGTGAGGATACAGTGAATTAATAGGGGGTAAGGTGTTAAGACTGAGTGAACGTTAGTTGCAGTTATGATTAGCAACGGGTTACTTGTGGCTGAAGTATGTTGGAGTTTAAATAATTGATCTGTAAAGGTTTGCTATTGCTATCGGAACAAACTTAAACGACATAGATTTATTGTGTGCGGTTTTGAAAGTTGGAAGTCCAAACTGTGTCTTCGTGGGTTACAGTCAGGGTGTTGGCAGGGAAGCTCCAGGGGAGGGTTCATTTCTTAGCCTTTTCCAGCTTCTGGAGGCGCCTCACTCCTTCACCTGGGCCCCCACCTCCTTCTGTAAAGCCAGCAGGCGGCGTCTTCAACTCTCCATCTGGTCATGTCTTCTGCCCTGACCCTGACCCTCCTGCCTCCCTCTTGGAAGGACCCCTGTGACTGCATTGGCCCCACAGCTTAACTTCGCACACACAGGTCAGGTCACATGTTCGCAGGTCCCAGGATATGAGGACACAGGCTTCTCCGAGGTGACCACACCCTTAATTTTAGGTCAGAACTTGGTGGGGGCGTTGGGTTCTGAGGCTTGAGCACTGCTTTCCTCCCTGGCCCCTGGTTTCAGGCTGGACTCGGAGACTCAGGCTCCGCTTTCCGGTTGCTGTCTTGGTGCAGGGCTGCCCTGGCGGGGCTGTCGCTGAGCCTGATGGAGCGCCTGGTGGAGGAGCACGGTGCGCGGGTGGTGCGGACGCTGACTGTGCAGTACCGCATGCACCAGGCCATCATGCAGTGGGCCTCAGACGCCCTGTACCATGGGCAGCTCACGGCCCACCCTTCTGTGGCTGGGCACCTCCTGCGGTGAGTGACTTGGTTCTGCCCCACCTGGCCTGCCCTGAGTCCCTCGGGTCACCCGAACCATGTTCAGGAGAGATTTAGAGTCAAAGTCACCTCTGAGGCTAGTTTTCAGGAGGGGAGAGGGGCCTTGCTCTTACACTTGGGGTACCCAGTGTCTGATGTTCTTCACGCCCCTCGTATTCCCAGTGGAGCAGCCCCGTTCTCCCGTGGGAAGAGCCCGTGCCCAAGGGGGTGACGGGAGACGTGAGTTCTGTGGTTAGGACCTCAGCTCTGCTTTATTGCCCGGGCCTCACGAGTTCAGTCTTTCTCTGTGTGCAGGGACCTCCCAGGAGTGGCTGCCACGGAGGAGACCAGCATCCCCCTGCTGCTCGTGGACACGGCCGGCTGTGGGCTATTTGAACTGGAAGAGGAGAACGACCAGTCTAAGGGGAACCCTGGTGAGCTTGCTTGGACGGGGCCAGCTTCCTGGCTTACACAGACCCTGAGCTCCTCTTCATAGAAACCAGAGTGTCTGTAGTTGCCCACCTTGGACGAGCTGAGTGAGGGGGGAGAAGAGGGGAGGTGGGAGCCCATCCCCGATGAGCTGGGGGGTTCGAGCCAGACGGGAGCACTCGCAGCGCCCTTCTCAGTGGGCAGCACTGGTTCGGGGGGAGGAGTAGGCCTGGGAGCGCGAGGTGGCCCAGCTCTGCCTGCTCAGCCTTGGGTGAGATCCTTGCTCACCCACGGTACCAGCCTGCTGGGTCGCACACTCAGCACTGCGGGGGTAAACTGAGATTCAGCTGCGTGGCCTGCGTCTTCGTTGGCTAGATCTGCAACCCTGCGGCTCAGGGCATTACCCCAGGCACAGTGTAAGATCTGCTTGTTGAATTGGGCGGAGAGCTGAAGGAGCTGGCCGAATGACGGGGATCACCGCGGGGTGACCTGGACTGACAGCCTGCTTGCTGCCCTCCAGGTGAAGTGCGCCTCGTCAGTCTGCACATCCAGGCCCTGGTGGACGCTGGTGTCCAAGCGAGTGACATTGCCATCATCACGCCATACAACCTCCAGGTGTGAGGGGCCACTTTGTGTGTTGGGGCACAGTCACCCCCAAGTGCCTAAAGGACAGGGGTCATTTCGTGTCTCTGTGACCGTAAACTCCAGGTGGAATAGACCACCTCACGACTGGATCTGGGGCTCACATGACATCAGCAAGTGTCTCCGTCTGTCCCTTGTACTTGCTCTGCCACACCCCTGCCCCATCCTGATGTCAGCCGGCTTCCCTGGTTGGCTTTGTTTTCTGGACAGCTGCCGGGTGGCCCAGGCTGTTTTGGGCTGGCGCCATCCTTACAGGGCTGCCCCGGGGACTGCTGGTCCCTTCACGGCATCTCCCACAGGGTCTCAGCTTTGAATCTTACGAGTCTGGCTCAGGTCCCCATCCCTGAGCTGGTTGCTGTTGCCAGAGCAGGGTCCTTGCCCATCTCTGGGTAGGAGGGCTGGCTCTGCTTCCTGGGCTGAGTGTGGGATGGGCAGTTTCTTGAAGGAAGATCGGGGTGCTGCCTGTTACCTGGAGGAGGGGTGGAGGCTGGGCCAGTGGGAGCAACCATCACCTGCTCCTTTCTTTTCGGGATTTCTCGTGTTTTCTCTCTTGGTGCCTACGTGCTTATCGGTAAAGCCTGTCTTTCTTAGTGGGAAAACGCAGCTGCAGCAAAGTATCATGAGGTCTGTGGATCGGCTGTCACCCCTTCCTGGTTCACAGGCATCACCCAAAGGGGCGTCCGAGGCAGGTGGCTTGTCACGACTCAGAAGAAATGACATGATGTCAGTGCTGGGGTGTGGGGCCACGTCTGACCTGTCCAGGTGCTGCTTTGTGTGTTCACTGAGCTGTCAGGCGGCGGTCATGGCTGTTCTGCGGTGTGAGGCCCTCTGCTGAGTCCAGGGGTGGAGTGTCGAGGCTGCCCTGGCCTGAGCTGAGCTGAGGACCGGCCTTACTTGGTGTTCCAGGTGGACCTGCTCAGGCAGAGCCTTGCCCACAGGCACCCCGAGCTTGAAATTAAGTCCGTCGATGGCTTCCAAGGCCGAGAGAAGGAGGCTGTGGTCCTGTCCTTCGTCAGATCCAATAGGAAAGGTACGTGGGGCTCAGCAGAGTCCTCTGGGGCACCACAGAGGGCGGACTGGGGTTCTGCTAGGGGCTGTGCCGGGCAGTGCAAGTGCGGCCTCTCTGAGCTCGCCGTCGGGCTGGAGGCAGGCGAGAGAGCAGGCAGGGAGTGGGGGGCAGTGGGGCCCTGACGGAGCCTGCTCGGGGCCAGTGCCGCAGGGGGCAGGAGTGGTCCCTGGGCTGCTGCGGGGGTGGGGCCTGGTGCTCCCGGCAGCGGGGACAGCACGGGCGTGCGGGTGTGCCCTCGGGGACTGCCTGGACGCCCTGCCCAGGCTGGGGAGGCCCCTGAAGCACAGAGCTTGGTTTTTGGCCTCAAGGTGCAGTTAGCCTCAGGGCCTGGCTTTTATACTGCTCCGGCTTGTAGTTATTCCTTTTGGTGGTGTACTCAGAAACGGTTTGTCTGGGCTTTGTAAGGCACCTTCAGTGGAAGGCTGAGGACGGATAAGAGAGTGGGGAGGGGGTGGGGGGGAGCTAAGGTACTGGAGCATCCCTCATGCTTTCCCCGCTGCCAGCTGCGGTCACTCTCTGGGCTGGGCTGAGGGAGGAGGTCGTACTTGGAGATAAGCGGTGGTTTGGTAGCTGCCACGTCCAGGCCATGTGTGGTGGAGGCAGATTGGGAAGCCCTGGGCGGATGGTAGGACGCCGCGCAGGCGGTGGTGTGGGGGCGGGCTGGTGGCCGGTGGAGGAGGGGTGTGCGGTGATCCCCTTGGTGATCCTTACTGCTCGGGTGCAAGAGTCCGTTTTCCATTCCTTCGTCTTGGGTCCGCTTTGCCACTCACCCCTGGCTCATTCCTAGGTGAAGTGGGCTTCCTTGCCGAGGACCGGCGGATCAATGTTGCTGTCACCCGCGCGCGGCGCCACGTGGCGGTCGTATGTGATTCTCACACCGTTAGCAGCCACACCTTCTTGAAGACCCTGGTGGATCACTTCGCGGAGCACGGGGAAGTGCGCACGGCCTTTGAATATCTTGACGACATCATCCCTGAAAACTACTCCCATGAGAGTTCCCAGGGCCACGGCCGAGCTGGCACGAAGCCCCACGGCTCTGCGGCGTTGGCCAGGAAGCCTCCTGGGGGCCGGCCGCGGGAGGGGGCCCAGGAGGCCAGAGCAGCTGAGGGGCTGGAGCGGAGGAGGCCGGGTGGGAAGCCCTCAGGCCCTGAGGTCCCTTCTCAGCCCAGGCTCAATGGAGGCAGCCCAGAGGGAGCCGGGAGCGGAGACCGTGCAGAACGCTTCAGGGCCAAGATCGCTGAGTTTGTGGCGAGTGAGAAAACTCAGTTGGAGTTTCCTGCTTCCCTGAACTCCCACGACAGAATGTGGATCCACCAGATAGCCGAAGAGCACGGGCTGAGGCATGACAGCACCGGGGAAGGGAAGAACAGGTTCATCACTGTGAGCAAGAGAGCCCCGCCCGCCCCGCCAGCCCTGCAGCCTCCAGCAGGGGCCGGCAGCCAAGCCCCTGTCAGGCCCACGGCCCCCGGCCCCACACAGACCAAGCCCCCTCTTGGGGAGCAGGGCATTCAGGACCCCCTGAATCTGAAGGCCCTGCACCTGGAAAGGCTGCAGAGGGAGAAGAGCAGGCGGGAGCGGCCGGCCAAGGAGGGGCCGGCCAAGGAGCGGCCAACCAAGGAGGGGCAGCAGGCCTTGCGCTCCGGGCCGCGCGCGTTACCAGAGAAGAAGAAGAAAGAAGCAAAAGGTAAGTGGGTTCATCTAACGGGAATACAGGCTTGGTATCCCCTTAACTGGGGTGTTTGCCTCACTTGACCGCTTGTCACCCTCAAAAAGGTTCAGGACTTCTTGGTGCTACTGCCCTGATTCTGCATCTTGCACCTTGTTTTTAACTGGTTTGGTGTGAGCTCCTTGAGGGCACTGATTGGTTACAGTGACCTTGGCGTCCCCAGGTCCTCAGGCAGATCCTGGCAGGTAGGAGGCCCTTGGGGTACACTTAGTGCAGGGGAAGAGCCTGGAAGAGGAGACGAGGGCAGTGGACAGGAGCCCTCGGGCAATCACAGACCTCCATGCTGGGCTTCATCCTTGTTCCGCTGGGACCTGAGCGGGCTCATAGGCCCGCTGGCCCGCGTCCCGGCTCCCACCCTGCGCGGCGGTGGCTGCGCACTGGCGTGCTCCATGGGGCTCTCTGCTCTGCCCCCCGTCCTGCACTGTGATTGAGCATCCACGGGCACTGAGCTTGAAGACCTGGATTTTCTGGAGGTCTCTGGGTCATCTCTTCAGCTGTTGTTGCTCTCTGAGCAGGACCACCCAGCCATGCACATTTTCTTTCTTTCGTTGAGTTCCTGTGAGCAAAGCTGCACGGGCATGACTCCTGGTCTTAGAAAGCAGCTTCAGGGCCTGAGGCTGTAGCTGATTCGTTATGTGGGATTCAGTGCATAGCTCCTACGTGCCCAGCTCTGTGCTGGGAAGTAAGATCACCCCTGCTCTCCAGGGCGGATGTTGTGGCAGAGGGAGGAAATGTCACGTGCCTTTCTAAACCACAGCGAGAGGTGGTTAGTACCGTGAAGGGCAGGTGCTGGGACACTGACGGGAGGACCTGGCCTGCCTTCTAGGGGTGTGTGGTGTGCTCACTTGAGGACAGAGTGTCCTGGGGAGACTTTGCCCTGTTTAGGCGATGGTAGCACCACTCGGTTTTGAAGTGTTCATTCAAGCAGCTACCTTCAGAATTCATCTTGCCCCTCAGGCTCTGAACATGACCTGTCCAGTTGGTCCCCAGACTCTGCTGAGGTCCCCGCACCTGAGAAGCAGAGGCCAGTCTGAGCAGGCCCCTGGGGCCATGGCTGGAGGCCCCTTAGGGAAGGGTGCCACTGAATGCATCAAGGGCTGCCTGCCACTCAGGAAGGTTGGGGGAACGACAGGTCCTGTGGGATAAGTGGTCAGGACTCTGTGAGATCTCATTTCTGGGTTGGGGCCTGAACACTGTGTGCCTGGTTCCTGCGTCCTGTTTCCTGAAGACGCCGGTGAGCAGCGAGCACCTTGGCAGGCCTTGTCCAAGCCTCCTGGTACTGCTCCTGTCCCTCCCCCGCCTCGGGTGCCCGTGTGAGTGCAGTAGAGCCTGGCATCTCTCAGCCTGTCTGGGGAGGCGGGCTAGGGGCACCTCCCCATTTGCAGGGGACCGTGGCAGAGTTGCACCTGCATGGAGGGACTGACGTGGCCGTGGCCGTGGCCGACGGAAGCGCTGGCAGGCCAGTGGGGCTGAGCTCACGGTTTCCCCTGGGTCCCCTCCACGGCCAACTGTCCTGACCCGGGTGCCTGGCACTGTGGCATGCCAAGTATGAAGAGTTAACTCAGGGAAAACGCACGCCGGCGTGTCTCGTCCGTGCCCGTGCCCCAGGTCATTGGTGACAGCCGCCTAGCAGATGCCTTCCCGGTGTTCCCGCGTGTCCACGCACAGGTGTTTGGGCTACGGGTGTGTGTTTCACAGAACTGCACTTATACGTGATCTCGTGTTTTTCTTCCGCTTGTAAGCATTTTCTGATAACTTCAAAAGATTTCTACATACTTGGTCAGGAGTGCTGAGGTCCCCTAACATTGTGATCTGCGAATACACTGTGGTTCATCCGAATACGCTGTCGTTTCCCTGGTACAGTTAACATCGTAAGGAACATCGTCGTGTTTAGATGTTTTGTTGATGAAAGAGGATGGACTTTTCAGGGGCACTTTCCATGCACTGCCAGCCCCTTCTAGGAAGTCCGCATGTGGCCCACACCTCCCGGCAGGGACTGGTTATTAGCTCGCTGAAGGAGGGCTGCTCTAGGCTGCACAGACACCGAGCATGACTGAGGGTCATTTGCCTGTTCACTGTGAACTGAAATCGGGAAGCTGGGCGCGGCAGCTCGGTGGGGCAGCCATGAGTCTGACGTCTGTGTTCTTCCCTGTTTGAGTGGCCCTTTTCTTCCGCTAGGACACGCGGCTGTAGATTTGCCCGGTGAGGAGGACTTCGAGGCCCTGGTCGCGGCCGCCATCAAGGCTGATAACGCGTGCGGCCTCGCTAAGTGCACGGCCAGCGTCGTGACCGTGGGCCAGCTCTGTCTGCACTGCGGCCGCCGCTACTGCCTCAGCCACCACCTGCCCGAGGTACGGCGGCCCCTCCCGGGGTTCAGATGGGAGGGGGGTGTCTGCAGGGCTCTGGGCAGATGTGCTCCGCACACCAGCGGTGCCTGGCTGCGAGCACTGGGCGTTTCCGATGGACGGACGTAGACCCGTGCTTTGTTTTGAATGCATCAGGGTGTGAGGAAGTAAAACGTTATACTTGCCAAGTTGCAACCAATTTGGTGGGAATTCTGGGCAGAGAGGATTTTGTTCCAGGGTCTTTGGGGTCTGTCAATGATTAGCCTAGGGGAGGTGGGAGGTGGGGCCTCTGGCCTGCGGTCTGAAATGGGCTGGCTGCCCATTTTTGTTCATTTCTTGAGCCCATTTGGATGGGAATCTCCTTTGCCAGGCATGGGGAGCTGGGGGCCAGAGCAGGCTTCATCTCTGCCCTGGGGGGGCGAGGACCTGTGGGACCTGGGTATGAGACCACGTCTGGTGCCACGTGCTGACCATGGTGAGGGAGGACCCGGTGTCAAGCTGGTGGCAGGGGTGGGGGCTGGGCTGGGGAGGGCATGTGTGAAGGCCCCAGTGAGGGAGTGCCTTTGTGCAGCTGGGAGCAGAGCAGGAGGCAGGGTGATGAAGTGGAGGCTAAGAAGTCTGTGCCCTGAGCAGTTGAGCCCTGGTTCTGGAGGCTGTGGGAGCCCTGAGGGTTCAGCACCACTGTGTTGCTGGAGCCCTGCCTGCAGCACAGGGAAGGCTCAGGGCGAGGCTGGGAGGTCCTGGGGTGGGTCATGGAGAGCGTGGAGCAGTGGGCTTGGGCCCTGGACGGGTTGTGGGTCATGATGGAAAGGGGAAGGAGGGCCCAGAGGGGCCCTTGGGTTTCTGGTTTGGGCCGATGGGACGTGGCAGTGGGGCTCTCGGAGGCGGGTGGGTGGGGCAGGTGTGGGGGAGGGCATGTGGTGCCTGGGGTGTCACCGTCCTGGATGAGCTGCATGGGGGTCCTGGTGGTATCCTGCTCTGGGTCAGGGGGTGTAGCTGCTTGCCAACAGGGAGCTTTGCCACCTCTTAACCTAGAGAGGGCCTCCTCCTGGGCAGGGGCTCCTCTCCCTCCCCCGCCCCTCCTCCCCCTTCACTTGCACGCATGCACACGCTTTCCCCTCCTGACACACACCCGTGCGTGCACAGTTTGTATTCGTGCCTGTTGACAAAGTGTGTGGTGTTTTGGAAAGCTGTTCATCTAGAATGTTTAGAAATCGTCAGGTGCGAGGTTTGGGTGAGCAGCTTGCGTTACTGGCACAGGCTGTGTGGGTCCCTGGTGCGGGGCGGTGGGAGGTGCCAGACCCTGGGCAGCTCCCGCTGCAGGAGCAGCTCCCGGCCCCTGAGAGCACATGTTCCCCATGTGGCCGGAAGCGTCGTGGGGAGCACCAGCACCGTGTCCCGTCTGACAAGATGTGCTGGGTGCGGGCAGGGCCGCAGGTCCCTGTGCTCTGAGATGTTCTGTGGGATGAGGCTCTGCAGAAATGGCACAGGGCTGGGCGGCGGGGACTGGGCCGCAAGCACCAGCTCTGTCACCTGCCCTCCTTGTGACATAGGCAAATGAGTTCTGCCTCAGCCCGAGTGAGCAGTGTGCCTTAGCCCTCGCCCCCTGACCTGGGTGTGGCGAGGAGTGGGGGACACTGGGTGTGGGCTCCTGGGCCACGTGGACAGGTTGGCACCACCCGGCTGTCTCTGGGAGGGCTGTGGCAGGCAGCCTGTGGGCCTGGGGCCGCCCAGAAGGGGCAAGGGTGAGGACACCCCGTGGGTGGGGGGGACAGGCACTGTGAGGGTGGCAGGCCGCAGGGGTCTCGGTGAGCCGCGCACAGGGCTAGGGGCGCCGATGAGTGAGGTCCAAACTGGGTCCCACCTGGCAGGTCCCAAGGGAACACCCTTGTCTGTGCGGTGGGTTAGCATGGGCTTTCTAGAAAGAACCCGGGACACGCACTGGCTGTAGTGCCTGGCACTGGGCAGGCTCGGAGGGTTTCCTTCTTTCTTCCTGTCCTTTCAAAAACAGAAGGAGTTACATGAGAGTTTGCTGGAAACACGGGGGCACTTCATCGGGTCGGGCTCGTTTCGGAGCTCCCACCACAGGCCTAGCACTGGGGGCAGATTAAAGAGCGCAGCTTTTGGCCCAGAGGGGACAGTGGTTGTCCTTGGGCTGTGTGCTCAGCGAAGGGCAGCGTGGCTGCCGGGGCACGTCGCCAGCGTGTGGATGTTCCGTTCAGACACCACTGCCGGCGGCCGTGTGGTGTGTGCGTCACCCCCCGTCAGGGAGGGTGTGGGGATCCGGCCCTGCGCCACCATGTGCACAGAGGACGGTTGGGGCTGAGCTGAGGGCAGGGGTGTTGTTGCTCCCTCGTGCCCCCCACCCCGGCAGCCTGCTGGTGAGGACCGGGTCCGGCTGCAGGAGTAGGGAGCCCCTCCAAGACCTAGTGCTGGGGCTTCATGGTCCCCAAGCTCTGCAGTGGGCAGCAGCACGGCAGGGCCTTTGTCCCCGTTTGGCTCACCACTGACTGCTGTGTCCCCCCAGATCCATGGCTGTGGGGAGAGGGCTCGTGCCCACGCCCGGCAGAGAATCAGCCGGGAAGGAGTCCTCTACGCCGGCAGTGGGACCAAGGACAGGACCCTGGACCCAGCCAAGAGGGCCCAGCTCCAGAGGAGGCTGGATAAGAAGCTGGATGAGCTGACCAGCCAGAGGAAGAGTAAACGGAAGGAGAAGAAGTGACGGGCGAGCTCTTCACACGCAGCTTCAGAGCTTCTGTTTTTGAAAAAAACCTGTGAGGGCGAGCAGGGCTGCTTTCTGCTTTCTTGTAGCTGCTCCCCGTGACGGTGTGCAGCCTGGCCCACCTGCCTGTACCAGAGCCGGGTGGGGCACGGTGTCTGTGGGAGGAAGGGTGTGGTTTTGGACCCTGGAGATGAGCTCTTCTAACCTGACAGCTCTTGGAGGAGGGTGCCTGGGGCATGTGGTGATTGCCACGTGGCCCTCTCTCTGGGCTTGGTGTGGGTCGGTTCGGGCAGGTCCCGTCCCTCTTCTGCCCTGGACCATTTCCCGGTCTCTTCTTCCTTTCCAGTCAGAACCAAAATCCCACCATCTGAATCTTGGGGGGTGTTGCTGTCCCAGCCCAGTGCCCCCTCAAGCTTCGTACAAGGAAATTCCCACTGTTGGGGGCCGGCCAGCTTTCAGGCCACCAGAAGGAGGGAGAGCACCTGAAAAGTCAGATCATGCGTCTGAGAACGCCGGGTGCCTTCTCCCGTGTGTCCCCACGCAGCTGACTTCACTGAGGCAGGTTTCCGTCTGTCTGTGCCCTTTTCTCTGCCGGCTGCAGTGACCCGTCCTGGTCATGCAGGGCGGCAGACACAGCTCAGGCTGCTCCTGCTCGGTCTGGAGGTGTCCCCGAGGCATGTGGCCTGAGCGAGCCCTTTGTGTGTGGCGGTCGCAGGAAAGAGCTGTCCCAGGGCAGCAGCGCGGCTGACACAAAGCCGAGCCCTCTGACAGGTGTTCCCCAGCGTTCTCTGCTGGCTGCTGTAGTGGGGAGAACCTCAGGCGGATGTCACATTTTAGTCTCAGAGTTTTGTTTGTTTAAGCGGGCTATAAATTATTTAAGAGTAAAATAAAGATCTCTGCACACCACCCGTAGTGCGGTTATGTGTCTACGGTGAATGCGCTTCCCCCTTCCTGCTCCCTGTCCCTTTCCTGGAGTAGCCCGGGGCTCAGGGTGAGCCCATGTTTGCTCCGAGCACTGGGCATCCGGAAGGTGCTGGCAGTACTCGGAGCAAGAAGGTGGGCATGCAGGGCCCCTGTGGGGGCCTTGTCCCCGTTCACAGATGCCAGAGGGGAGGAAAAAGATCCTTGGCTATTCTAACAGTGAGAACGAAAGTTTGAAATCGGGAAGGCTGGAGTTGTAAGCTGGTACAAACCAGCCAGCCTCTGTGGAGAGGTGGTGAGAGAGAGGCTGCTGCCCCAGGAAGAAAAAGGCAGGCAGTACAGACGGCGCCTCCCTGGGGGCTGCCTCCCCCTCACGTCCACGGCCCCGGGTCTGACTACCTGCCCTCAGCCGACTTGTAATGCCCTCTGCCCTCCCCGCCCCCCCAGACCCCCTCACACAGACCTTGCGCCTGCTGACCCTAAACGCCATTTGTGTGTCTGTGACCGCAGCCTCCCTGACCAGGCATTCAAGATGTCTGTGTTGTCCTGGGGATGCCTGGGTGGCTCAGTCAGTTGGGTGTCTGCCTTCGGCTCAGGTCATGATCCCGGAGTCCTGGGATCAAGCCCCGCATCGGGCTCCCTGCTCCGGGGGGAGTCTGCTTCCCCTCTGCCTGCCGCAGAGGCGGTGGGGACCCCACGGCAGTGTGTGTTTGAGGGCCACACGCAGTCCACTGGTTCGTGTTGGCACAGGGGGTGCTGCTGCCTGCAGGAGTCGTGCAGTGTCCCGGATGGCTAGCTGCAGTTCTCACTGCCCCCAGCAGCCTGTGGCTGGCGGTAAACAAGATCGCAAGGTAGTGAGATCTGTGCACACAAAGCAGTGATTCACCATTGTTGAGGGACACAGTGGCAGCCGTCTTGCATGCTGAGGTTGCTTGCTTTTTCTCCTTGTCTTTGTGGTAATAAGCTCTGAGCCTCTGGCCACAGCGAGGCCTGGTTCAGGGATGGGCCAGAGTCCAAACAGGGCCCATCAGGGTTCTAGCCTGGGGTCCACACACAGATGCTGATATAAAGATGTTGGCTTTTTTTCCTGAGAGTGGCTGGCAGAGAAGAAGCCTGTCTGTAGGAGGGAAGGAGGCCAACACAGAAACAGCCAAAACTAGGGGTAGGGAAATAGCAATCACATTGTTTGAGCACCTGGATCCAGCCACACTTGACCCCTGCACTCTTCTTCCCAGTGTCCTGAAGTAGTGTCCTTTTTTTAGCTGAAGAAAGTCTGCCTTGGGTTTCTGTCACTTGCAGCTAGAATGATCTTTACTGGTCCAGTGGGCATACCCAGTCCCAGCATGGAGGCGGTACCGAATCAGGACACCTCTGCTCATTAGAGGAGCATGTCTTGCACCTTCATCCACGTGCTCTTCCCATGGGCCATGTTGCCAGGAAGAGCTTGAAGTAGGGGAAGGAAGGCAACGCAGAATGGGCTGGGGTGGCGGGAGGCCTCCGGAATCAGAAGGCCCTGCGTGGGCATGCTCTCTCCATGGAATGGGGCTTCAGCCAGTGCCCGCCTCCCTGAGCTCGTCTGCTCCTTGGTGACGGGGTTGAGAACAGTCTTCGCCTCCCCAGCTGTGCAGACAGGTCCACAGAATGATCCGTGGGCAGCATTGCGTGTATTTTAAGCCCTGGGTCTGGGTTAGTAGGCTCTGCGGCAGTGCCCGGCACGGGCTTTGCTCTGGTCACCGCGCCCACCTGCCCCTGCACGGAGCCTTCCCCCTCCCCCGCCGACCTCCATGCAGGCTGGTTTTGACGCATCGTTAAAATGCGTCAGAGTTGATGCTTGCAACACAAAAAGTTTCCGTTTCTCGACCCAGAGAGACCTTGTTAGGACAGTGTTTGTAACTGGTTGCTTGAAAAATGTCCTACATTTGGCCTGGACAGGGTAGCCCAAAAAAAGGGAAAAAAAATGTGCCAAGCCAAACATCTTCCCAGGCAGTGAGGGTGGTCTTGCTGGCAACCTGCAGGCTGCAGCCTTTCCTGGGGGAGCTGCCCGGGGCTGAGGATTCACTTCTGGGTGGGCACTGAGCAGGGAGCCCTGTCTTTTCTTCTTTTAGGGTGAGGGGACAACATGGCACAGGATAGAGCCCCAGCTTGGGCCGTGTCAGCCCTGGGGGTTCATTCAAGATTCACCCCATATGGGCTGCATGGCTCGTGCCTCCATTTCCCCATCTGTAAAGTGGGTAAATAACAGGACCTGTCTCCCAGCGTTGCTGTGCATGTTAGGGTCATAGGGCCCCCGAAACCGTGCCTGGCACTTCCATGATCAGGGAATGTCCGTGAAACTGCAGACATTAGGAGGGGCGCTTTGTGTGGGTTTGACACACAGCCTTTCCTGCTCCAGTCCGAGGGGAGGGCGCCTGGGGCCCCAGGAGCCGGTCAGCTGCCGGCCGGAGTTGCTGGTACAGCTTTGCGTGGGCACGCCAGGCTTCCTTGGGGGTTAACAGGGCTCACCCTCACCCCCTGCCGGTGGGCCAAGGACGGCCGCCAGACCAGCCCCGCTCTGTTTACGCGGGTGGTTTGGATTGTTACCCGGAGGGACCAGTGGGCTGGCGGGCACCATGCTGCTTTGGGACGTTTCAGGCCCGAGTTATAACCTGGCACTTAAAAGGAACTGTGGTGTGTGCCAGGAGCATTGCAAAAGCTGCAGCCTTATTTGGTCTGGAAACTTCTTTGCTTGGAGGAAAAGGGGAACGAGTAAGCAGACCTCTCATCTGGGCAGGCAGATGTGTCATTATGCCGGGACTTGGTGTCCAGTGTGAGGGTTGTTTTGTTCCCTTCTGTGTGTGGCTGCCTGGCCGCTCGGCTCTCTGCCTTGCCCTCGACGGCTGGTGCGTGGTTGCGTCGTGCAGCTTTCCTGAAGTGGGATCACCAGGTTATAAAGTCCACCCCTGCGGGCGTGCAGCTCAGTGAGCATCGGGGGACGCAGAGGGCTCTGCCGGCCACCGCCCTGCCCGGCTCCCTCGTACCCGGCTGCAGTGATCAGGCTGGCACGTTCCCTTCCCTCCTGTGTTTGCTGAGTTTATTTGTGCATTGAGTTATTTACTTGTTTTTTTTTTAATTAATTTTTTTGAGATAGCACGAGTTGGGGGCAGAGGGAGAGGGAGAACAGGCTCCCCACTGAGCAGGGAGCCTGACGCGGGACTCGATCCCACGATCCTGAGATCATGACTGAGCTGAAGTCAGATGCTTAACCGACTGAGCCACCCAGGTGGCTCTCATTAGTTGATTTCTGAATGTTAAACCAACCCGGTACTCCTGGATAAATCCCACTTGGTCATGGTGTTTAATTTATGTATATGTTGTTGATAGGGGTATATGGTCGGGAGCGTTTGGAAACCATTGTTTTCGGGATCTGCTCCAAATCAGAAGTGACTCTCCTTCTGTGGGGCAGCCATGCTTGGGTTTTTTTTTTCGTGAAATGAGACAGGGATTTCAGGACTTGGAGAAACAGACCCCCTGAAGGGTTTCTCGTGTCCCGTGTTCTCCACTGAGCACAGTGCCCTGGCCATCCTGGGTGGTAACGCACTCCTGTTAGTCCTCCTCCGAGCGTGCACCTTCGGCGTCAGCGTGGCCCTCGGGGGGTGGACCGAAGCAGACCCCCGCATCAGGCCGTGCGGGGTGGGCTTTGGGGGCGAGTTGGGGCTGCAGTTCTCCGTGGAGTCATGCCTTCAGGCTGTGGCCACTCAGAGGAAGGGATGCTAGCTTCCCGCTTGCGCAGCGATGCTGCGGGGGCTGCTGGTGGCCCTGGCTGTGGGCAGGGGTGGGGGTACCGGGGCGAGATCACACAGCCCACCCTGTGCAGGGAATTTCTGCTCCGTCCTCTGTAGCGAATGAAGGAGCGTCCTGATGTCTCTTACACTCGTTCCTCGAGTCAAGAGGACAGAGCTCCTGGCTTGCTCCTCCCTGTCCACCTCCATGCCCTCCCCATGAGCTCTATGGGGCCGAGCCCTAGCAAACCCCCTCCAGTGCGCTGGCTCTCTCTCTGAATGTACGGGAAAACACATTCGTGCGGGTGGCCAGTGCGTCGTTGAGTGGGGAGGGCCCTGGGAGCCGGGAATGACCCTGCCTCTCCCTTCCACTGAGCCGACATGCCGCTG